GATAGATAGATAGATAGATAGATAGATAGATAGATAGATAGATAGATAGATAGATAGATAGATAGATAGATAGATGGATGATAGATAGATAGATAGATAGATAGATAGATAGATAGATAGATAGATAGGTGATAGATATGATAGGGTGATGGATGGTGGATGGATAAACAATACTAGGAGAAGGTGATAATAAGGATCACTTGATGGTGGAGAAGCTTAGTGCTGAAGGAACAAGAATATGTCCCTGTTCATTCCTCCACCCCTTATTGCTTTGGGGAATTAAATTTATTTGCGCTCTGTATCATTGCTTCCCTCCTCCCATATGTGATTAATCAGCAGCAGGCAGTTTCATTTTGCAGCATATTTTTTACAGCTGCTGCAGCAGCAGTTCAACTTAAAATGCAATGCAATAACAGTAGTTGCTGCCAAGGATCCCCTTGGCCATCCTTAAAGGTCTAGTTACAATCCCTTGACTTCTCTACGTGGATGAAAGAAACAGTTTAGATCTGAAGAGTGTCAATATAGTCTCTGAAATTCAGGCTCTGAAGTGGTAACTTCACTGGGGCAAATAGACCCTTGCTGTGCTGAAGTTATCATGTGAAGAAGAAATGGTCTCATAGCATGTTTCTCCATATACTTGAAGGCATCCATTCATACAATCATATTCCAGTGCAAATAAATTGCATAGGAAAGTTGCATGTCTCCTCCAGCTTTATTTTTACCTTAATTTATGATGTATCACTTTGTTGCTTGTATGGACACTGAGAGCTTATGCATCTTGTGTGTCCAATCACACTTGTCCAGTAAAGAATGTTCCATTCCATTCCATTCTATTCTATTCCAGACCCTGTGGACCTATCTCTTCCTTATTATCAACATTAATCAACATTAATAACATAGGATGTTTACACACAAGATGCATAAGCTTTCAATGTCCATACAAGCAACAAAGTGATACATCATAAATTAAGGTAAAAATAAAACTGGAGGAGACATGCAACTTTCCTATGCAATTTATTTGCACTGGAATATGGTATACATTACTTTTAATTTAATTTTAATTTAAAAAGTAGTTGTGGGGGAAATAAGAAAAGGTGTGTTGAATATGTTTGCTGCCTTGAGTTACTTGTAAAAGTAATAAAGGTGGGATACAAACAAACAAAATTACATGCAAAGTATAACATAAGAACCCAAGACATGTTCCATTCTCTCTCCATTCTCTTGAAGAAAACTGTTTTATATCTAATCCTCGGGAATTTACTAGCTTTCCAGGAAGAAGAAGAGGAACCACATAGACACAGGATGTCCTGTCACTTGAAATATGGGAACTCAATGATTTGTTAGTTAAATTATTGACGTTCTTCATTTTATTTTAGGTATTTATGTGATCAGCTCTTTTAACTGGAAAAGTGCCCCAAATAACTTGTAAAATCATAAAGTCAGTCCCTGGTTTTAGGCTTACCATCTAAGAAAACATGATGCAAAAGCTGAGGGGAGGGGAGATTGGTGGGGAAAAGAAAATAAGAAAACCAGTGGGTAATTTTATATAGGAATTATAAAATATTTGTAATATTATGTGAGTCTGAGAATACCTTTCTAACAACACACAATCAACCTTTTTGTCACAATAGCTGGAACGGAGACAAATCCATGGGAGACAACCTACAGCAGCCAAGTACTAGCCAAGATTGACCCTGCTGAGATTCCAAGAACAGACAAGCTTGGATCTTGAAAATGTCAAAGTCCAGTGTCAGATGTCCAAGTGTGTCTGATGGCAGGAGGTGCTGAGCCTAAATTTGGAAAATGCCAGCTTGTCAAACCTGAAAGGTTTGTTAGCCTCTCATCTCCATTATTAAACTTTTCTCTTTTTATTATATTAATAGCTTGTCCCGTTTCACTGGATTAGCATCGCATATGCTGTTTTTTTGGCTTTGCCTTTAAATACAACATATTTAATATTCAGAGAGCAGAGGAATCGAAACCTATTGAGTGAAGTGACCCTGATTCACAGAAACTGACTAGGCATGACAAGGCACAACCAGGCAGCAATGAGCAAACACCAACCTTCCCCCCCCCCCCCGGCTTTTGTCCTCTGTATATTCAATCATAGCCAGTGCCTTGCAAAACAATTCTCCTGGGTATTTTCCCTGCAATATCAAGGACTGAATATAAACATCTCATCTGCCATTGCACACACCTCTCTCCAGGGCTGGAGTCTCCCTGGCTTTTCCACATCTCCAGGACTTCAGGGAGATCCCAGCAGTAGCCTTCTTAGTGACCTCCCATTATTCTATACAAAGAAGTTCAAGTGAAAGGTTCAAGCACCTGGAGAAGAAAATAGCACAGAAGCGTCTTTCTCAAGGGAAGAAACATCTGAGAAGTGGCGATTTCCACAGTATTAAACAGCCTTGAATTGAAGATGAAGCTTATCTGATATGGTAAGACTTAACGTTCCTAATCAACAGGCAGCGAGAGAGAGGCACCCAGAAAGGCCACTCTGCACCTTTTTATTAATTTGTAATATTCTTTTAATAATTCTTGTCCCTTGTAAGTTTTAACTTTTATACACCACTGAGTGCTGTACTCAGAGTGAGGGAGATGGGTGATTCCAATAAGAAGGAGGGAGGGAAGGGGGGGGAGGGAAGGAAGGAAGGAAGATACATAAATAGACACACACAGAGAGATAGAGAGATAGATAAAGAGATAGACATAGAGAGAGGGGTGAAATCCAGTTACCTTTGCTACCTGTTCAGTAACAATGTGAGCTCATGAAGGATCTTACGTTCATGTGCAGAGCACACCTGCAAAGGTAAGAGAACAGAGGGGGAAATCTGCTGTGCCATGCAATTGAGATTAGCTAGAAAGCAGGATTTCCTGCTAATATAAATTGTGCATCACACTGATCATCGGAACAACCGGTTCGCCCAAACTGGTAGCCTTTTTACTACCGCTTCAGGCAAACCAGTCTGAACCAGTAGCTTTTCATCCCTGCATAGGTAGGTAGGTAGGTAGGTAGGTAGGTAGGTAGGTAGGTAGGTAGGTAGGTAGGTAGGTA